TGAATGAAATTTTGGAATTAGGACCATCTTACCCTTAAGTTCAAAAGTGAAAACAATTCGGGTTGCGCCATCACCCCCCGGGGGGATGATACCCCTTCTCAATTGTGTAATTACATTTTTTCAAAAATAACGTCGGAAATCGATAGAAGAACTAATTATAAGAAAAACATGTCTTTATAGTTTTTCAAAAAAAACTAATACTTTTCAAGTTACTGACCACTAAAGATTCATATATTTTTGGCGTTTTTCTTCGTTTTTTTGCAAATATCTCCTAAAATATACATTTTAAAGAAATCATGTAATGAACAAAATAATGTCAATAAAAATCTTAATCTTAATAAATCGGTATTGTATAAAGTGTTCTAGGAAAATAATTAGGCAAGATTTGAAAGAGCAAAGTCGCTTTTTATTTCGTTCAAGATTTAATTGTTGTATTTAAGCCATCTAGTGTCGAGGTTTTACATTTTATGCATTTCGGGTAATTGGGTTTTATAGTGCCCAACATAAGCTTCAAAATGAGTGCTGTTACAAGTTTTTTTGCGTGTAAAATGAGTGAGCTATAATGCAAATAAGAAGCATATACGAAGTTTTTTTGTTTTAAAATCATATGGTTTAATGAGCGCCATTTCACCAGAATGAAAGTAATTCATATTCCATCTAGAATTCACTTCATTATAGACATCTTGATGGATTCATTCTAGCAGATTCACTACTTTAGTACAAACTATTTTCAGAAAAGTCACGATTTTATAAAAACTTTTTTTTTCAATTTTTTTAAAAATCGAAATTATTTTCATTATATCTCAAAAAGAATAAAAGATACGTATAAAAGCATATAGATAAAAATCAAAAAGATCTTTCTGGCTTATTATTTTATTATTTTCCTTTAACACAAAAATTGACAGAGTTATGAATGTTTACTGCGCGGCCGCGCAAATTGGGAAAAAAAGTTTTTATAAAATCGTGACTTTTCTGAAAATAGTTTGTACTAAAGTAGTGAATCTGCTAGAATGAATCCATCAAGATGTCTATAATGAAGTGAATTCTAGATGGAATATGAATTACTTTCATTCTGGTGTAAATGGCGCTCATTAAACCATATGATTTAAAACAAAAAAACTTCGTATATGCTTCTTATTTGCATTATAGCTCACTCATTTTACACGCAAAAAGCTTGTAACCGCACTCATTTTGAAGCTTATGTTGGGCACTATAAAACCCAATTACACCGAAATGCATAAAATGTAAAACCTCGACACTAGATGGCTTAAAATACAACAATTAAATCTTGAACGAAATAAAAAGCGACTTTGCTCTTTCAAATCTTGCCTAATTTATTTTCCTAGAACACTTTATACACTACCGATTTATTAAGATTTTTATTGACATTATTTTGTTCATTACATGATTTTCGTTAAAATGTATATTTTAGGAGATATTTGCAAAAAAACGAAGAAAAACGCCAAAAATATATGAATCTTTAGTGGTCAGTAACTTGAAAAGTATTAGTTTTTTTGAAAAACTATAAAAGACATTTTTTTCTTATAATTAGTTCTTCTATCGATTTCCGACGTTATTTTGAAAAAATGTAATTACACAATTGAGAAGGGGTATCATCCCCCCCGGGGGGTGATGGCGCAACCCGAATTGTTTTCACTTTTGAACTTAAGGGTAAGATGGTCCTAATTCCAAAATTTCATTCAATTCGGAGCACAGTAAAAAAAATTCAGACCCGAAACGCCCCGTTTACTGCACTAATACGTTTTTAAGAAAAAAGCCTCTAAAGTGGTAAAATGGCTCAATAGTTGTTAGTTTTATACTAAAAAATAACTAGAAGTAGTAGAAAAATAAAAATCTAGAAATAACAATATTTTTGATATTAACAATATAACAAATATCATGTTATTTCTAGGTTTTTATAATGAAACCACAATAACCGAATAATGGTTACAGTTTTACTGTTTTACTTAAAAGCTCACAATTTTCAAATTGCTTAGGATAAGCTAAATTCCTGATTTTTGCATGATGGTTAGAGTCATAATCCTGTTACCCTGTATCTACTTGAGTCAATGTCAAGTTCCTGAACACCCTGTATATAAAATATCTTTTATTAAGATATTAGATATTTTTTTACTTGGAAATTTAATAGTTTCAAAAAACAATAATTTAGTTAACTGTATCAATAGCATATTGCTATATAATAATGTATAATATATTTGTTATAGTCTTTCATTATAATATTCATAAATAACTATGAATTATATTTATTCAGTGATTATAAGACTGAAATTATTTAAATATCAACATGAAATAATTTGCTGTTCCAATCATTTTCTTGACGATTTATTCAATATTTAATAGAATATTGAATAAACTACGTAAATTATTAAACTGTGACTTTTCACATTTAAATACCATTGCAGTAAGAATGTGTTATTCTTATTTTGCTTGTTTTATTTGATTCGAATAAAAATTTCTTCTGCTGTATATGAAATTATGAGTTAGAAATATTTAGTGCATCAGACTCACTTTTATAAAACATTGTCACATACATAAAATTAATCAGACGGCAGTTTGTGTATTAGTAATTCAATCCATCGTCACTTGTGTCTGATATGGATTCACCTCGATTGAAACCAAAGGCCTTCGAATTGCCCCCTGATAGCCATTCCAGTCCAACAGCCCCATGATATGATTGAGACCTCAAAACTGCTCCTCCGCTAATTTTGTTATCACATTTTTTTCAATAATTCAGTTAATTGCACTTTTGTAATGATATGCACTAGCACAGTAACTCAGGTCGTCTGTTTTTCACTAGATTTTCTTTTTCAACATATTTCATTGAAGAAATGTGTTTAATTCGATTGGCGCGGAGATATTGGCGGTCTAAAGTTTTGATCAGATACATGTGTTATTCAATCATGTAAATTGATAATTAATTAGTGAGCAGATTTATAATATTTTAATTAACAAAAAAAACTATCAATAGGTACTTCTTACATTTGTCCTATTAATGTTATTTAAAAAAAATAACAGGAAATGAAAAAGCTTCCTCGAACTATGTTTAATGTTAAAAATAAGCATTTTAACACACCACGGGCTAGGTGTAAGTAGTATTTTACCTTAAGTTATTATATTCAGTTAAAACTTTCAAAAAAAAATCTTATTTTATTTTTTGAACGTACATATATTTAAGAATACATACAGAAAATTTCATATCATTCTCGAAATGGTGTTTTCAAAATTGGTGACCAACATAACTCCAAAACGGCTAAAGCGATTAATCTCAAATTTTAACACGAGCTTCTTAAATATATTGTTTTGTAATTAATCGAAGATTTTTCCGATCCGATAAATATTTTTATTTTTATAAACAATTTAAGGTCAAAATTTCCTCAGAAAAAAACGATTTTATAAGAAGCCGCAATTTTGTCAAAAAATATTATTTTGTTTATTCCTTCGATTAATTACTAGATTTATCATTACTTTAATGAAATCTCTTGGATTTTTTTAATTACAGATTTTGTTCAGATATAGAGTGGTCACCGCAAAACGTGTTTTTCGAGAGGTTTTCCGGAGATCTGCTCTAACTTTTTTTTAAAATAAACATGTTTGCTTGCAATTAGTTTTGAAATGTAATTAAAATATGTGTATAAATTTTTGTATCAATAGATTGAAAAAATGCTCAACAAATCGTTTTTTTTCCGGCCTTCTAACTGTATATAACCTTAAAGCAAATTGCATGAATTTTCGATATGTGAAAATAATCTTCGCAAGCTTTAATAATTATCAACTTTTAATTTTTAACAATTAGATGTTCATCTGTTTATTTCGAAAATAATGTTTTCGTTTTTCGTTAAAAACTAATCAATGCGACATTCCAATTTCCAATTGATCTTTTCAAACAAATTTATAATATTGTAATAGTATTAATTAAATTTTTCACAGACTTACTACAAAGAATCGCTTTTGTAGATATTTAAATCTCCTTTTGTAGATTAACTTCCCGAATTTATACTTAATTTGATAAGAATATACAATTTATAGTGATCCAAAATTTGACTTTTCACCAAATTTTTCGATGAAACTCAATAAAGCCTCGCTCTGATTAGATTTGTGCGGCGATCGTCCACGTCGTTTCTTTATAATTAGCAGAAAAGTGCTAATTTTTTCCCCCAAGTTTTATCCTAAACCAATTTCATAAATTCATAACTTGATCGAAAAATAACAAGCGTGCTGAATTATTTTTGGTTAGACATGTCGGGCAGTTTCTATGTAATTAAACGTTATTTTTTGGTTTTTGATAAAACTTTATTTAAAAAAACGAAGCGAACATCCTAAAATATTGGAGGCTTACAAAAAGTAGTTGAATTATAAAAATTCATTAAAGTTTGAATGATATTAGGGCACTTTTAAGCGCATGTTTATGGAATTTAATTATTATGATTACTTATAAGTTTGTTTAAAAGAAAGCAATTAGAAATCCTATTAATTAGTTCATTTTCATGGAAAACTAAATCTTTATTTTCAAAATAAACCGCGGAAAATTTTATCGCATATCTCAGAAAATATAGATTGATTATTTAAACATGATCAAAAAGTTCGTGCAACTTGTTTTAATATAAATTGCCACTGACACCTAGTTTGATAATGATTTTGGAAATTACCACACTGGATATGGGCTTCATTCTCTTTGCATCGAAAATATATATTTTAGTTAATCAATTTAAATTCAATTGATCACCGAAAAGAGACTAAAACTTGACTAATTTGACTTAACTAATTCTCATCTAAAATAAAAACTTTTTTATTCAGTACAATACATTCTATTCTCTAATTTAAACATGTTCAAACACAACTGCAGAAGATAGAAAATCAAGTATCTATATTAGACTAATATTTTGCTCACAAACGAGTTTCAGCTTCGATTGTATCACATTGTTTAAATAATGTTTAAAATTTATTTATTACGGCCACATAAGAGTTATTATAAATCTGCTCTATCTTGTTTTTAATTCAAATAAATACGTGCAATGATACTCATTACATTGTTGATGATTGAAAACATGAAAATTTCAATCAATGCAAAAGCCAGTGAAATACAAACACAAGTGACTGTGCCTGCGATGAAACAAACAAACATACATAGAATTTGTGATTTGCTGCATGATGTAATTGTATTTTAATAATGCTAACAATTAGCATCATATAAAATTTTATCAGAATATTATTTACTGTATTTAAAAATAATATTGATTTCATTTACCATATCAAAGAATAGCATAAGATGATTTATCATAAAAAAATATTACTTCAACATGTAGTATTTTATATAATAATTTGTTATAATAAAATATATATTTAATTTTCCAAAAATAAAATCTAACTGATAATTGATGATTATGTATAAAATGTAGTCAAAAGATTATTATTGTAAAATGAATAAAATGGTTAATGTAAATACTGATTAAGTCAAAACATCAATATCATAAAATGAATAAACAGGTGACCAAAACTGTAAAGCAGTTGAAGGTAAAAGCAATTCATCACACAAATTAAAAAAAAAAACAAAAAAAATTAACTTAGTTTACCTCTGTAATGGAGAATAGTTTTCATTTTCATTAAATGATTGGGTCATTATGTTGGAGCTAGCTATTTTCTTAGCTAATTCGGCCTTCTTTCTGCCTTCAGCAGCAGCTAAGTAGATAATATACAAGTTAAATTATTATAATGTATATATATATATATATATATATATATATATATAATTAATTTAGAAATACGACAACACTCTTTTTTGGACTTATTTAGTAAATAATAATTTCACAAATGGTTTCGAGACCAGGTTTGTCTCATCATCAGTGTGTTATGATTTAAATTTTAAAATATGGAAACCTAAATCAGCATTATGTGTTATCCTTTACAAGTCATTCAATATACTTGGAGTATATTGTCACTCAATATACTCGAAGTATATTGTCGTTCAATATACTCGGAGTATATTGTCAATCAATATATTCGGAGTATATTGAATGACTTTGTAAAGGATAACACATAATGCTGATTTAGGTTTCCATATTTCAAATTTTAAATTATAACACACGGATGAGACAAACCTAGTCTCGAAACGTTTGTGAAATTATTATTTACTAAATAAGTGCAAAAAAAGAGTGTTATTCATATTTCTAAATTCATATCTATCTATCGACTCAGAATACATTTGCCATATATATAAATATATATTTGTAATATTTTTTCAGCGCAATCGTCGAATTAAAAAAAAGATTTAATAACAAAATTATTTATTCCATTAAACGTTTCGACACTTGATGTGTGTCATCATTCAGTAATCTAAAAAATATATAACATAAATACAAAGTTGATGATAAATATAAATATTTAAAAAGGAGGAAATTATACATACCAAACCAGGAAAAACAACAAAAAAAATTAATTATGATGTAAAATTGATTGAACACTAAATTTGTGTAAAATAATAATAATAATAATAATAATATATATATATATATATATATATATATATATATATATAATTTATACACCATGGTATTTGTAAAAAATATATGTCTACCTTTCATAGGATCATATTTGGCCCTGCGCTTCCAATTTGCCATCTCTTGCTCCTTTGTGGGATTTCGTACAGGAACTTTAAAAACAATAGAAAACAAATATTAATGGAACAGAAACTTTCAAATAAATAGAACATTGAAATATATTAAATAATTATAAAATAGTATAGGATAAACCTCATCAAATTGAAATAAGTTTACCAATTTTGCTAAGTGTGAGATACTTCCATTATCAATTAATAATACATAAAAAACTGAGGAACTAAATACCCATAACAAAAAAGCATCTGTATTATATATATGTATATATATATATATATATATATATATATATATATATGTGTGTGTGTGTGTGTGTGAATATATACTATAGATATAGATTAAAGTAGAAACACAATCCAAAAAATCAACTGTGTGTATTGCAAAGGGATGGTATGCCATTTTGCTTATTTATTTATTTATTTATTTATTGGCATAACGTTATGTAACTGAATAAAACAACATTCCGCAAAACGCCTTTTGAATAAATTGTCTTCAAATTTAACAATAAGAGTCAGGTTAAATAAGTTTATGTTATGTTTTGATGTGTGTGTGTTCGGTCAGCATATTTTTAAATTTGTTTGGAATTGTTTGCTGAAGGCACTTTATTAAATGTTGGCTGGTTTCACTTACATACATTAAATAAATGACTCAGTAAATAATTTGATACCCTATATTCCTAAATCATTCAATATTGAAAGTAGCTTGAGTTCTGGTAAAATTAGTATTAGTAGTAGTGTTAAATTTGTAAAACTAAAGTGTATTACATTTATACACGGTAAACAAATGATATCTCTAAATTCAGTAGGTTATAATAGTCAATATCATGTCAATATAATTATTAATTTCGTAAAGTAACAAAAATATTTTAGTATACTTTTATCATTATATCTCAAGTTAATTTCTATATCGCAAACATATTATCTTCTAAAAAATTGTTCTGTTGCACATAGTGTTGTATTGTTATAACATATCCTCATATAATGGATTATTATTTCTACTTTTAATATTGTTTTAGTAAGTTTTACAACTTATTTTTTATTTATAAAATATCTCTGTTACATATTTTAGTCAGATTTTATTAATTCCACTGAAAGAAATCTAGAACAACAGCATGACCAATAAGCATGAATTTTCAAAGTAAATTTTTAAAATAATTCTAATTTTTATGATGTTACTTTAGATTATTAGGTTCTGTTTATATGTGTCAACAGCGAATATAAAATTACAGATGCAGGAAATATTTATAGTAAGTTAAAATGCTTTTATATGAATATGAAAAAAAAACTTAATGATTCTACTGAGCAAACAAAATTAATCAATATTAGGGTTCAACAAGCTAGGAAATGATATATTTTTAAATATCAACTTTAAGTTTTTACTTGTGCATATATATATATATATATATATATATATATATATATATATATATAAACAAATATTTTATCTGACCTATGTCCTTTTTAATTACACCTTTCCCAGGGCCAGCGCTTCTTGTAGACCGTAAACTCAATCTGATATCATCATTCCTGGTCAGATTTTTATTTTTGGCAGCACTTCCTGGTACACTTTTAGTTTCCAAATAACTTTTACTCTCATCTTTTTTCAAAAATGATGCAGTAGTTGGAGATTTATACTTGGAAATATCCATGTACCTTGGCTGCACACTCGCGGTTACTTTTTTCTGTCCAGCAGAAGATACATCACTCACGTTTTCTGATGGTTTGGGATTAGCAAGACGCTTGTTGATACTTATATCGCGTGGTCCAGTGCTTTTTTCTCTAAATGAACTTCTGACAGATCTTCTGGTAGAATCAGCATTGTTACGAACAAAATTGGATGCAGGTTGCTTGGTTGCTGATACAGATGTATCACTTTTTTCGGATTCTAGTCTCGCTCGTCGTAAACTGAATGCGCGGTTACAACGCGTATTTTTTATTTTTTCAGGCTTTGGGGTCGTTTTATCGTTTTCGTATTCGTAATCGGACTTGATGCCATCACTGAAGTTATCGTTGTTGTCATGGTAATTGTTATAGTTTGTGTATTTCCTAGTGCTCCTAGGTGAATCCATGAACGGAGTGTTATTATGTCTGCTCCTCAAAGGAGTATCATTTGCATGTGAAGAAAATGAGCTAGAACGTCTGATCGGGCTTGAATTTGGTGAATTCTGGTGTTTTGCTAATTTGTTTCTGACGTCGTTAAAAGAATTTTTATTGTTGATTTGCAAGTTATTGTCCTTGAATGTGCTCTTCAACAAGTTATCCTTGGAAACCGAAATTGTTTGATCAATATTCAGTTTAGAATTAGTATCATTCTTATTAATAAAGCATTTGATAGGCTTGGGTGGTAGTTGATCACCATATCCTAAATCTTTGTTATTTTTTTCTATATAATCGTGCTTTTTTAGATTGTGGGAATGCTCATAAACAGCTTTAGATAAATTATTCTTTTGGGTTAACGAATTATTCATCAGTCTGTTGTGTGAAGGTGAAGCAAACTCTATTTTAGACAATGAATTATCAAATGAGAAGTGCCTTTTATGCCTTGAAGGTCCAAATGTTCTTTTTGGTGATGTTGGGCTTGATTCAGACTTCAAAGGTCTGGTGTTATAATCATTGCTTTGCGATAACCTAGTTTCACCGTCAGATGATATGGTGACATAAGATATGTGTTTTGGTGATGTGGAAGAATCTAAACTATGCATGGGTGATCCATTGCGACTGTCGGAGTAAGTTGCATAATTGGATACTTTAGGTCCAGTGCTATTTGAAAGACTGCAGGATAAAATATTGATCACGTCTTCGGTATTTCGTAAGTATGCATGTGTGTCAGCAATGGGAGAATTTAATTCCTAAAAAGATAAAAAAAATTACAATTATTTATAAAAAATATAGCAAATTTTAAACTTTGCTTAATTCTATTTATAAACTAGTTGGTATTGGTATTTTGCCCTAAGGCAAGTTACATGAACTTCCCGATATGTGTAAATAATCGACTTCATCAATAAAAAAAAAAAAAGATTATGAGTGATTAAAAGTATTACGAGTGGATTTATTACAAATAATTAGAAACGAACGAACACGTTAACTCGGAGTATTTTCTAACGGCAAATTTTCACAAATTAATAATTTTTATAATTGAACCAGTTTCCGTAGGACTTTAATGGTTTAGAAGGTTCATTAAGACCAAGTACTTTATCGTTATACCAAGTAAATCGTATTTAATCCACTCATTTTCTTTAAGTTTGATAAATTTTTAAAATTAAACTACTTGTCGTAAGGCCGTAATAGTTCAGTAAGTTCTATAAGACCATGATATATATCGCCAAAAAAAGTTCCATAAAAATCGGCTTAATTTTTTTTTTCAACAGTTAGTTAAAAGAAAACGGCTCGAAAGATTTTTAACCAAAACTAATCAGTATCATTCCCAACTAATATCTTTCGAACAGTTTTTGATTTATCAAAATCGATTCGGTAGTATGAGCTTAAATGTAGACGAAAAGTTTAACATTTTTTTCCAAATTACAAAGAAACGGCTCGGCCGATCGCTGCACAAAACTGAGAAAAGATAATCCACATCAAAACACATTGATTTTGGCTTTTAAATTTTTGAAATCGGTTTAGGCGTTTTTGAGCAAACTTCGATGAATTTTGACAAATGCCAAAAAACGGTATTAAAACTTTGACGAATTTTTAAAATTAAACGGCTTGTCGTAGGACCGTAATATTTTAATTAGAGTGATTTAAAAAACATTTAATTCGTATGGACGGGGAGAAATGCTGATTAGTTTTTGGCAAAAGGCAGGTACAGCGGTTTCAAAGATACGGGACAAAAAGTGCAAATAATAGAAGTTTTAGAGATTACAGAGCATCCGATTAGAATGATTGATTATGTTGAAATAGTTATTCACGCAAATTTATTAAGAAATGGTTAGTTTTTAAAGCAGACAGGTTCGGCAATTTCAAAATTTTGAAAAAAAGCAAAATTTACAAAAAATTCAAGTTTCTGAATTTCTCAAGTTTTCAAAATTTTCCAGAAAATTCTAAAAAATTCAAAATGTTCAAAATTCTAAAGTTTCCTTATATAGTTTGAACAAATAATTTTAATTCAGTTTCAAAATGTTTATATAATATAAATAAGGAATATGAGATAATTTCTTTGGAAGCATTTCAAGTAGTAATTATTCCGATTAGGTTTTGTTTATTATCTATTCGTTCCTTGTCTTCTTTGTATATACATAATTATATATATATATATATATATATATATATATATATATATACTAGCAAACCCGACAAACTCCGTTTCGCCACCAGATGGTTTCGTGAGAAAGATGAAGAAAGTTTTGTTTGTTTTATATTTGAAAAGGAAAAATTTGATTTTGTTATACAACAGTAATGAATTTTTTTCGATTTCAAAATGAAGTGTTTTTTAGTTGAACTTCTCTAAGTAAATGAAAGTGAATCCGCAAATTATCCGTTTCATTGAAGTGCTCTTTGGTAAACCACATTTTTTTTTTTTGGTCTGACCTTAACACAAACAAAGCGGATGGTTTTCCAACTCGTGAACAGGCAACTTATAGCTGCCCATGTGAAAAACAATGATTTTCTAAATAATCTATTTGAAATTTATTCCGCAAACACTAAGTGATCGGCCTTGCGACTTGTTATTGCGAACGCAAGGCGAACTGGAAATTGCAATCGTTTGAAGTCAAAGGGAAGACCAGTCGGAATCATTGGTATGTCACAAAATCGCCAGCAATTTTTGATTAAATTGTGAAATTCAGTGCGTTTACATCATTAATCTTTGCGGCAAGAATTGCTCGTTGAGTTAACCAAGCATAATTCTGATAATTCTCACTAATGTCATTACTCGAATTTTTAATTACGGTGCGCGAAGTTCCTACAGCTTACATTAAGGCACGATGCCATGCACCACTAATTTTCTTAGCTATAAACCTTGCGGAGCCCAAGACCTTTCCAACGAATGCAAAATTGTCGAAATCGGTTCGGGTGTTATATATTATATATATATATATATATATATATATATATATATATATATATATAGAGAGAGAGAGAGAGAGATAGTTACCCAAACTTAGCACTTAACTTATATTGGACCAATAAAAAAACTTTACTAAAACGAATTTGTTATACATTAATAATCAATCTTTATTGATAATTGATTATTTTTCTTTTGCAAATATTCAATTATGGTACGGGAAGTCCCAGCAATTTGCCTTAAGCCACAATGCCATGTACCACTAGTTTAGTTTCTTTCAAATATATGGAGGATGCCTGTAGTTTTTAAATGAACTTATTCAGCCTCCTTTTTACAAATTAGCCATTTACATTATTATTATAATTACATTACATTCAATGATTTAATATAATATAAAAAAATGCTTTAAATTTTAAGCTCTTTAAACAAAATAACTCACACACATACAGAACTGGATCAGCATTAACTTTTTCTACTAACTTCTATTATATATTTATGTACAATTAATATGAAAATATGCATTATACTAATATAATTACTTACAGTAGTGCTCCCAGATAAACTGACACTATTTCTCGATCTAGGTCGTGCTAAAGTTGAGATCGGAGAAGGTATTTTTGTGGGACTAGCAGAAGGAGGACGTGGTGGCCTTTTCACTATAGAATCATTTATCCTATCATTATTCGTTCTACCTAAAGGCAATGACATAGCTCTATGAGAATTCTGTTTATTTCCATAATAATCACTTGCATTATCTGTACTGGAGTCCCTGTAACGATACTCATTATTTGCTTTATCACGTTCTCTTCTGTTGTGTTCTGAAGCCGACTTGGCCCATTCGTAAATCCAGTTGTTCTCAAACTTATTATTATCTTTAGAAGGTTTGTTCAGATCACACAATTGAGAGTTGTTTAATTTGCTATCAGGTTCAACATAGTCACTGGATTCTATCTCAGATTTAGTCAAACTTTTCTTTCTTTTCAGTAATATATCCAATTCATTTCGAACACCAAACTCATTTTTATTTTTGTTGCTGGATTTTTATTACTAAGCACTCCACTGGCAGTAACGCTGGTAAAACTACCAATATCTAAATTATTATCAACTTGTTTTGGTTTGTTTTGTAAGGTTCTTTCACTGATGTTTCTCACACGATTCTTCAGCTTTTCTAAAACAGATTTTCTACTCCTGGCTTTACTTTCTTCTTGCGGCTCGTAGTAGTAAGATACTTCTAATACATTTTTGTCTGATGATACTTTACTTGGAGTATATTGTTTATGCCCGTTGGACACAAAATTACCCAGTTCTTCATTGTTAGAACAATCAGGTGTTAAATCCTGGGTATTTATAATAGTTTTACTTATATTTTTTGTTGATATAGGGCTTTCTTCATGCTTTATATTATTATCACAGCCTGTTGACTTGATACTAATACGAATAACTTCCGTATTGGTAGAATTTAGTTTTTGATCTATACTCATCTTAGCCTTTTGTTCTTCTGTGTAAGTATCATTTTCAATTGTGTAAGTCCCAGTTTCACTAACATCACTATTTGAATCATAGTCATTGCTTACATCGTTATTTGATTCTTTCGTCGAATGAGGAGGTTCAAATGTTTCTTCGTGTGTTGATATATTTGGTAATGAGCATAAATTTACTTCTTCTGAATAGCTTTCATGAAAACTGGTACGCGGACTGAGACTTTTGCTATCTAACCCAAAATTGGATGATTCATGGAAACTAACTGACATTGGCATTTTATTTTTACCTGCACTAGCTCGAGTATTTTGTTTCACAGGTTGCACAGATTCTTTGCTATGATTAGTTTTTGCTAATTTACTTACACCTTGTGTGGTTTTACTTTTAGACATCGTAGATTTAGATGGTTTTGTGTCTTCAAGTTTTGATAAAGATGCTCCTCGTTGGTGCCTTTTCTTTAATTTATCCATAAGAAATTTGTGTTTGGTTGAATCAATTTGTTTACCATCACCAAAATCTATAGTAAAAGCTTGTGATTTTTGAGGTTCTTCTGAAAATGATTTGCTCATTTCATCAGAACTTTTAGCACTATCCATTTTTTCTGTGTCTGGAATCTCTTCAGGTTCCTTTGTTTGTGACATTATTTCTTTATCAGCAGAAGTTTCTTCCACAACTTTTTCACATAAATCTTCTAAGGAATCCACAGTCTTTTCAGATGAACTGTGCTTATTTTCATCTTGTATGATATCCATTTTAATCCAAGAATTTCACAAAGCCCACATTACCATATTTAACAATATCACGCCTATGGTGAAAATGACATCATTGGTATAAATACAATTTTATAATCATATGCACGCACGTAGTTATACACATTGCTTAATAAAAAAATTGTAACTACCACCCGAAATCTTAACACTTCTTGAAATAAATCTTGAGCTCAACATGTTAACTAGATAATAAATAATAATTTTGACGTCTGCCCAGTGGTAATGGACATATAGATAAAATTCCTGTAAAATAATAACCTTCGTGAAAACTAATTAGGTCATTGTTATGTAAAATCAATGATTTATTATTAATTCATAATTTATTACTCACATATAACAATTACACTTATTTATAGAAAGTATTTTGTCGAAAGTGATCGCATATCTTTTGAATGCATTGTTCGAAATGTCAAATGGAATGACATTAGTGGCTGCCTTCGTGTCGGTCGGTTTCTCAACCTGTTTGATTCAAAATGGCCGCCCGTTGAAATTATTTAATAAACAAAAGCAATGTTTTTATAACAAACTATACTAAACGGCCACTATATCGCTTGATAATCTTGTAAATAGTGACTAATATATACGTATAATCGATATAATGTTATTATTATACTTTAACAATCAGGGATGGGAAACCTTTTTTATAACGGATAACTTCAAGCGTGATGTAAAGGATTCGCCAGATGATAAGATTAGGTCGGTTTATTAACTTCCCGGAAAGTAAGTTTCAAAATGAAAATGTTTGCATTTATTAACGTTTCAAAGGTTTGTGAACTTTTGGCATACCTTGTTAAAAAAATGGCTATGTGTGTGCATGGATATAATTTTGTGGTAATTCGTTTTTGGGAGAACGGAATACCCGATTTGAATGATTCAAAAACCATTTTTCTTGTATTGACAAAATAAAGAATTGATTTCGTCGGTTTTGGAGATACGGAGGAAAAAGTAACACAAAATGATATTTGGCGGTCAAAAATGATCATTAGACATATGCACATCAAATCATTAGATTTTTGATAAAGTTTTTTTTTTGTTACAATTTATTTTTGTTAATCAAGACTAGTTTTTAAAAATGAATACAATAAGTTTCCGAAAGTTTTGGCATACCTTTGAGCTTAAATGTAGACGAAAAGTTTAACTTTTATTTTTAAATTACAAAGTAACGGCTCGGCAGATCATCGCACATAACTGACAAACGATAATCCTCATTGAGATACATCAAGTGGCTTTTAAATTTCTGAAAGTTTTTTTTTTGTTACAATTTATTTTTGTTAATCAAGACTAGTTTTTAAAAATGAATACAATAAGTTTCCGAAAGTTTTGGCATACCTTTGAGCTTAAATGTAGACGAAAAGTTTAACTTTTATTTTTAAATTACAAAGTAACGGCTCGGCAGATCATCGCACATAACTGACAAACGATAATCCTCATTGAGATACATCAAGTGGCTTTTAAATTTCTGAAATCGGTTCAGGCGTTTTTGAGAAAACATCGATCTAATCGAGGTCTAATTTTGACAAATGCCAAAAAAATCGATACTAATTTTTGCAAACATTGGGTTCGTAATATTTTAGTATGATCTACAAGACTATGGTATCTACCGTAAAAAAATAATAATAAAAATCATCGAAATTTTTTTTTTAACACTTCATTACAAGAAACCGACCCGGCCAACTACCAAAAACTAATCAGCACGATTCCCAATAAATATCTTTCGAACTGCTTTTGAATTTTCAAAATCGATTCAGAATTGCGGGCTAAAACGTAGACAAAAAAAATTTCACTTTTCTGCTATTTATAAAGAAACCGCTTGGCCAATCATCACACAAAACTGACAAACAATAGTCCTCATAAGAGGCATCAAATGGCTTTTATATTTTTGAAATCTGTCCAGCCGTTTTTGAGAAAACGTTGATTTACGGCAAAAAAATCTGTTCACACACACACACACACACTCTTATTTTGGAAATTTGGTCTCATTCGATTCAGAATGGCTTGAAACACCGAAAAAGAATTGATGAAAACATAAACTTCTCCTTCGGGAAGTTAAAAGACGAGTTTGACAAAAAAAACACTAAACATAACACGATGGAGGGGCGTTAGTAATTATTTTTATTTAGTATTTATTTTTATCCTGAATTTAATAAAAATCCATTTTTTTTAATAAAATTTCCAAAAACGGTACGATTTTTTCTAGGTATTAGATTACACGTAATGTTAGGTGCCACTATGAGAAAAAGGGGTCCAAAAATCTTTGAAAATTAATCACTTGATTAAAAATAAAAAAGAACCAAATAGTGACTGATTGTTTATTAATATTTAATCATTTTATTATATATTTTTAATCAGCATTTATATTACAGCTTATTGCAATAATTTCTGTCATTTTCGTACTACATTGCTGTATAGTAAGATATGATAAAATAGTAGTATTTATTGCAACTAATTTAAAAGAGATACATGAGAAAACTGTGTTTTCTACATCAACTACATTTAAAACTGGATGTTTATTTAAATAGATTTTTTCAATATCTTTGCAAAGACTAGAATTATTTTAGATCTAGGAAAAATTAACAATGAAATTTCCACAAAAAAATGTGAACAGGAGTGAAGATACAATAATCATGTTTAATTTATATCTTTGCACCCAGCTAGTTGGACACTTCTGATTTTCAACAATATTCGAAAATCTTATTAAACTGCGTAGTGTAGTATGAAAAGCCGAGGTAATAATGCATAACAAAATTATATTTATATAAACAATATTGGTAAATTATAAATACTGCTTAGTTCTTGATTTGAAAATTAGTTCTGTAGAATTTCGATAACATAAAGTAATATGTAATATGTAAAGTAAAGTAATAATGTTAAACTCTAATGTAAGATTTAATAACATATTTTTTGTAAATTAAGTATATGAATATATGTTTTAATAAATGTATAGTGTACATTCTTGCACTATTTCTAATTGTGAAACCACTGATGATAACTTTTTACATTTTCAAATGTATGATACAATAAAGAGATTCTCAAAAATCTTTGATAGTTATTCTATTTATGGATTTTGAAAATTTCATGCATGTATATATATCCCAGTATCCCAGAACTCAACGTCAGCTGAAACTGGGTGATAAATGCAAGAGAAATGTATTTGCAAGAATCGAGTTATTTTTATATTTATATTTATCAAAATATTTTGCCTTTGACAATCCTGATTAAATGTGCCAACTTTTGATGGAATTTTGCAATAAACTTTAGTGCAATTTTTTTAAAAAGAGGGCTTCTCAAAGTCAATCAATTTTGAAAATTTTAAATTCATAGTTGAAAAAGTCTTTATTTATTAAAGCAATTGTGTCATTATTTTCGGCTACAATTTTTTTGTTTTTTATTAACTTTTATTTACAACTGTCCAGTAAAGGACATTTAGTAAATTTAATGAATTTACAATAGTCCGCCGAGAAGGGACATTGTATACTACATTGTCATGTTGGAAAAAACAACTCAGTAGTTGTTTTTCCTTTCTATATAAAATTCACAATATTTTATTACTGAATAATTACTACAATTTGAAAAACATTGTTTACATGTACAAATTCAAAGCTCAAATAAACATAATTATTGAAAATTAACCGAAAACTGGTCACATTTGTACCGAAGCTCTAGGTTGCACTTAAAAGCTCACAATTTTTAAACTACTTGAGATGAATTATTTTTATAATTTTTTTTGAGATTATTTTTAAAATAATAAATACTTGTTTTTATTAAATTTTTTATGGTGGATAATTAATTTTTACTTACAGCCCGCTAAATAATTAATTAATCAATATGATCCCCACCAAATTCAATCAATCTCAAGCACTATAATAAAATTGTGCTATAAAACTGATGATAATTAAAAAAAAATTTTTTTTCAGATAATATAATGTTTTAGAAATTAAAATTGCTTAATTTCTTTTGACGATATATGAATTTTTTTAAATATCCGCAGCAAAAAATGTTTAAAATTACATTCTAAAAAATAAAACATAGCGCAGTATTCAAAGAAACTTAAATATGAAAATAATTGGGATGATAATTGACAGGAGGGAAAAAAAATCAATAAAATAATTTTGGAAATAGATAGGTATTGTTGATTGAAAAGCTGTACCAAACATTATTTATAAGCAGCTTATTACCAAAATGTTGTATGATTTTGAAATCAGCATATTCATAATTTCAGAATAGTCTTTGTAACTTTGCGCTTTCTAAAAATATTGATGCTGTGGAAATATATATGCACTTATATTTAATATTATTTCTTTTTTGAACAAAATACCTTTTTCTCAAAGAAATAATTTATTTAATTTTTCATTCATAAATATATAATAATATAATAATTAATTATTCCATTCATAAATATATAAATATATATATATAATAGTTCCTATGATGTGGAGATGTACAGTAAGTTTATTTCAGCTAACAACAGACTTTTACGTACTTATCTAATTATTTGAAAATATAAAAAATTTAATTGAATAATATTGATACGATGATACGAATAAAACTATAAAATAATAATACATTTTGCAGTATCCAAAAATCTATCCTCATTTACAGGTGTACTTTATAAGATTTCTCAGCTTTCAATTATAGTTATTAATAAAAATATTTTGTCATTTATATTTTCATCAATACTTATCCCAATGATGAACAAAATATCAAGATCTCAAAATTTGTATATAAAATCATTGTTTTTCAAGGTGACCTACAAAGGGCCAACAATGTATTTTTAAATCCTGCTCAAGCACAAAAATAGATACATGGCATTGGAAAATTAATCCACAATAAATATCATATGGAATTTTGTATTTATATTTTATTTATTTGGTTTATAGTGTTAACATAATATATCAATTTAATGTAATTCAATGTAACCCATATAGTTGCATGTATTAGCGATATGTATTGAATGTATCGATAAAAGAGCTTTGTTTATAAAA